TCCCATTTTCCCCATTTTTCCCATTCCTGTTATTCCTTTTATTCCCATTATTCCCATTTTCCCTAATCCCATTTTCCCCATTCCCAATATTCCCATTTTTCCCAATATTCCCATTCTTCCCATTCCCACTTTTCCCATTTTCCCATTTTTCCCATTCCTGTTATTCCCTTTATTCCCATTATTCCCATTTTCCCTAATCCCATTTTTCCCATTCCCAATATTCCCATTTTTCCCAATATTCCCATTCTTCCCATTCCCACTTTTCCCATTTTCCCATTTTTCCCATTCCTGTTATTCCCTTTATTCCCATTATTCCCATTTTCCCAAATCCCATTTTTCCCATCCCACTTTTCCCATATTCCCATTTTTCCCATTCCTGTTATTCCCTTTATTCCCATTCCAAAATTCCCCAAAAATTCCCCAAAATTCCCCAAAATTTCCCCAAATTCCCCCAAAATCCCCATTTTCCCATTTTCCCCATTCCTATTATTCCCTTTATTCCCTTTATTCCCATTTTTCCTTTTCCCATTTTCCCCATTTCCCCATTCCCCAAGATTCCCATTTTCCCCATTCCCAATATTCCCATTTTCCCCATTCCCAATATTCCCATTTTCCCCATTCCCAATATTCCCATTTTCCCCATTCCCAATATTCCCATTTTTCCCATTTTCCCCATTCCTGTTACTTCCTTTATTCCCAATATTCCCATTCCCATTATTCCCATTTTCCCCATTTTCCCCATTTCCTCCATTCCCAATATTCCCATTTTTCCCAATATTCCCATTTTTCCCACCATTCCCATTCCCTTTCCCAATTTCCCTGGATAAATTTGGGATCTCCAAGGCTTTTTCCATCCCCTAAAATTCCAGGATTCTTTTTCAAAATATTCCAGGATTTTCCAAGACCTCATTCACCAAAAATTGACCCAAAAATCGGGAAAAACCCCAAAATTCCCATTTTTTTTCTGGGATAATGAAGATTTTGTTTGGTCTTGGCAACCTCCAAGGGTTTTTCCAAGCCCAAAATTCCCAGATTTTTTTTTCCCTTTCCCAAATTTTCCTGGGATTTTTAACCCCCTCCTTCCCTCATCCCCCAGAATTTAACCCAAAAATGGGGAAAACCCCCAAAATTCCATTTTTTTTCTGGGATAATGAAGATTTTGGATGGACTTGGCCACCTCCAAGCCCAAAATTCCCAGATTTTTTTCCATTTCCCAAAATATTCTGGAATCTCCAAGACCTCATCCACCAGAATTTGACCCAAAAATTGGGAAAACCCCCAAAATTCCCATTTTTTTCCCTGGAATCACATGACCTTGGACAGATTTAGGAATTCCAGGAATATTTCCAAGCCCAAAATTCCCAGATTTTTTTCCCTTTTCCCAAATTTCCCTGGGATTTTTAACCCCCTCCTTCCCTCATCCACCAGAATTTAAACCCAAAAATCGGGAAAAACCCCAAAATTCCCTTTTTTTTTCCCTGGAATGGAAATTCCTTGGACGGATTTGGGAATTCCAGGGATTTTTCCTGGCCCAAAATTCCCAGATTTTTTTCCCTTTTCCCAAATTTTCCTTCAATTTCCAACACCCTCCATCCCTCATCCCCCAAAAATTGACCCAAAATCCCGGAAAACCCCCAAAATTCCCAGTTTTTTCCCTGCCTATCCTCTCATGGCACGGCCTGGGGCTGCTCCCGGCCTTTCCCCGAGCTCGGAATTCCGGCTTTTTCCCAGGAATTTCCCCGGGACGCGGCGGGGGCGGCGCTGCTGGAGCTGCTGGGGGCGCTGCTGCGGCGCCGGCGCGGCCCCCGCGGCCTGCAGGAGCTCTTTGCCGTGAGTGCCCCCGGGAATTCGGGAAATTCGGGAAATTTGGGAATTCTGGGAGCGGTTTTGGGAAGTTCGGTGATTTCGGGAGTCAGTCGGGGAATTATGATGGGATTTTTTGGGAATTATTTCGGGAATTCTGGGGATTTTTGGGAATTCTGGGAGCGATTTTGGGAATTTCAGTGATTTCGGGAGTCGGTTGGGGAATTATTTTGGGAATTCTGGGGGTTATTTTGGGAATTCTGGGAATTTTTTGGGGATTTCTGGGGTTATTTGGGGTGGAACAGGAATTATTTTGGGAATTCTAGGGATTTTTTGGGGATTTCTGGGAATTTTTGGGGAATTTCAGTGATTTCGGGAGTCGTTTGGGGAATTATTTTGGGGTTTTTTGGGGATTATTTTGGGAATTCTGTGATTTATTTTGGGAATTTCTGTGATTATTTGGGGTGGAACAGAAATTGTTTCGGGAATTCTGGGGATTTTTGGGGAATTTCTGGGATTATTTGGGGAGTAACGGGAATTATTTTGGGAATTTTTCCGATTATTTTGGGAATTCTGGGGATTTTTTGGGAATTCTGGGAGTTATTTTGGGAAGTTCAGGGATTTCGGGAGTCGCTCGTGGAATTATTTTGGGGTTTTTTGGGGATTATTTTGGGAATTCTGGGGATTTTTGGGGAATTTCAGTGATTTCGGGAGTCGTTCGGGGAATTATTTTGGGAATTTTGGCGATTGTTTTGGGATTTCTGGGAGTGATTTTGGGAAGTTCAGGGATTTTGGGAGTCGTTCGGGGAATTATTTTGGGTTTTTTGGGAATTTTTTGGGGATTTCTGGGATTATTTGGGGTGGAACAGGAATTATGTTGGGAATTCTGGGGGTTATTTTGGGAATTCTGGGGATTTTTGGGGAATTTCTGGGATTATTTGGGTTGTAATGGGAATTATTTTGGGAATTCTGGGGATCATTTTGGGAATTCTGGGGATTTTTGGGGAATTTCTGGGATTATTTGGGTTGTAATGGGAATTATTTTGGGAATTCTGGGGATCATTTTGGGAATTCTGGGGATTTTTGGGGAATTTCTGGGATTATTTGGGTTGTAATGGGAATTATTTTGGGAATTCTGGGGATTTTTGGGGAATTTCAGTGATTTCGGGAGTCGTTCGGGGAATTATTTTGGGATTTTTTGGGATTATTTCGGGAATTCTGGGGGTTATTTTGGGAATTCTGGGGATTTTTGGGGGATTTCTGGGATTTTTTGGGAATTTCAGTGATTTCGGGAGTCGTTCGGGGAATTATGATGGGAATTCTAGGAATTTTTTGGGAATTTCTGGGATTATTTGGGGTGTAATGGGAATTAGTTTGGGAATTTTGGGTATTATTTTGGGAATTCTGGGAGTTTTTTTGGAATTTCTGGGATTATTTGGGGTGTAATGGGAATTAGTTTGGGAATTTTGGGGATTATTTTGGGAATTCTGGGAGTTTTTTTGGAATTTCTGGGATTATTTGGGGTGTAACGGGAATTATTTTGGGAATTTTGGCGATTATTTTGGGAATTTCTGGGATTTCAGGAATTATTTTGGGAATTACGTTGGGGTTTTTTAGGGATTTTGGGAAAGGTTTTGGGAATTGGCTCAGGATTTTTTGGGAATTATTTTGGGAATTCTGGGAAGTTCAGGGAGGTTCCGGGATCCTTTGGGATCTTGGGGAAATTCTGAGGAACGGGGAATTGGGAATTTGGGAATTCCGGGAATTCTGAGAATTCTGGGAATGGGAAAATTCCTGGGAATGGGAAAAGTGGGAATGGAAATTCCAGGAATGGGAATTCTGGGAATGGGGGTGGAATGGGAATTTTGGGAATTCTGGGAATAGTGGGAATAATGGGAAGGGGAAATTGGGAATGGAAATTCCGGGAATGCTGGGGATGGGAATCTTGGGATTTTTGGGAATTCCAGGAATGGGAAATGGGGATGGGAATTCTGGGAATGGGGAGGGAAATAATGGGAATGAGGGAATTCCAAGGAATGGGAATTCTGGGAATTTGGGAGTTCAGGGGATTCTGGGAATGGGAAAGGAAAGTTGGGAATGGAAATTCTGGGAATACTGGGAAGGGAAAATTGGGAATGGGAATTGCAGGAATGGGAATTCTGGGAATGGGGGTGGAATGGGAATTTTGGGAATTCTGGGAATAGTGGGAATAATGGGAAGGGGAAATTGGGAATGGAAATTCCGGGAATGCTTGGGATGGGAATCCTGGGATTTTTGGGAATTCCAGGAATGGGAAACTGGGGATTGGGAATTCTGGGAATTCTGGGAATGGGGAGGGAAATAATGGGAATGAGGGAATTCCAAGGAATGGGAATTTTGGGAATTCTGGGAATTTGGGAGTTCAGGGGATTCTGGGAATGGGAAAGGAAAATTGGGAATGGAAATTCTGGGAATGGGAATTGCAGGAATGGGAATTCTGGGAATGGGGGTGGAATGGGAATTTTGGGAATTCTGGGAATGGGGATGGGAATTTTGGGAATGAGAGGTTTGGAATGGGGTTGGGAAAATTGGGAGGGGGAATTCTGGGAATGGGAATTTGGGAATTCTGGGAATGAGGATGGAAAACTGGGAATGGGAATTCTGAGAATTTTGGGGAATTTGGGAATTCTGGGAATGGGGATGGAAAACTATGAATGGGAATTCTGGGAATAATGGGAAGAATGGGAATGGGGATGGAATGGGATTGGGAATTCTGGGAATTCCGGCAATGGGAATTCTGGGAATGGGGGTGGAAAATTGGGAATGGGAATGGGAATGGGGATGGAATGGGATTGGGAATTCTGGGAATTCCGGCAATGGGAATTCTGGGAATGGGGATGGGGAGGGAAAGTTTGGAATGGGAATTTTGGGAATGGGGGTGGGGAATGGGGAATTTCCAAGGAGCAGCTCGGGATCCATCCCTACGGAACCTCCTGTCCCCGAGGATTTTCCCACCAGAATTCCAGGATTTCCCTGCAAAAATTCCAAGATTTTCCCTGTAAAATCCCAGGGTATTCCCACCAGAATTCCAGGATTTCCCTGCAAAAATTCCAAGATTTTCCCTGTAAAATCCCAGGGTTTTCCCACCAGAATTCCAAGATTTATCTGCCACAATTCCAGGTTTATCCCTCCAGAATTCCAGAGTTTTCTCATCCAAATTCCGGGGTTTCCCCTGTAGAATTCCAAGATTTTGTCCTTGGAATTCCAGAGTTTTCCTGGAAAAAAATCCCCGGATTTTTTTCTGTAGAATTCCAAGATTTTTCCAGCAGAATTCCAGGACTTGCCCTGTAGATTTTCAGGATTTTCCCACCACAGTTCCAAGATTTTCCCACTAGAATTCCAGGATTTTCCCTCCAGAATTCCAGAGTTTTCCTGCCAGAATTCCAAGATTTCCCCTGTAGAATCCCAGGGTTTTCCTGCCAGATTTCTGGGATTTTCCCTGTAGAATTCTGGCAATTTCCCTGTGGAATTCCAGGATTTTCCTGGGATATTCCCCCTGGAATCCCAGTATTTTCCCTGTGGAATTTTCCCCCTGGAATCCTAGGATGTTCCCTGCAGAATCCCAGGATTTTCCCTGAGAATTCCACGATGTTCCCCTTGGAATTTCCCTCTTCAATCCCAGGGTGTTCCCCCTGGAATCCTGGGATGTTCCCCCTGGAATTCCCCCCTGGAATTCCCCCCTGGAATTCCCCCGGGATGTTCCCCCTGGAATTCCCCTGGGATCCCAGGATGTTTCCCCCTGCAATCCCGGAATTCCCCCCTGGAATTTCCCCCTGGAATTACCCCGGTATCCCAGGCTGTTCCCCCGGGAATTCCCCCCAGAATTCCCCGTTATCCCGGGCTGTTCCCCCTGGAATTCCCCCCGTTATCCTGGGCTGTTCCCCCTGGAATTCCCCCCTGGATTCCCCGTTATCCCAGGCTGTTCCCCCTGGAATTTCCCCCCGGAATTCCCCCGGAATTCCCGGTTATCCCAGGCTGTTCCCCCCGGAATTCCCCCGGAATTCCCCGTTATCCCAGGCTGTTCCCCCTGGAATTCCCCCGGGAATTCTCCGTTATCCCAGGCTGTTCCCCCTGGAATTTCCCCCGGAATTCCCCGTTATCCCAGGCTGTTCCCCCGAATTCCCCCCAGTATTCCGGGATGTTCTCCCTGGATTTTCCCCCTGGAATTCCCCCGGGACCCCAGGCTGTTCCCCTCGGAATTCCCCGTTATCCCAGGCTGTTCCCCCTGGAATTTCCCCCTGGAATTGCCCCGGTATCCCGCTGTTCCCCCTGGAATTTCCCCCGGTCCCCCGGGCTGTTCCTCCCGGAATTCCCCCCGGAATTCCCCGGTATCCCAGGCTGTTCCCCCGGGCTGTTCCTCCCGGCATTCCCCCCGGAATTCCCGGTTATCCCAGGCTGTTCGCCCTGGAATTCCCCCCGGTATCTTGCCCCGGTATCCCAGGCTGTTCCCCCTGGAATTCCCCCCGGAATTCCCCCAGGACCCCAGGATGTTCCCCCTGCAATCCCAGGATGTTCTCCCCGGAATTCCCCCCGGAATTCCCTGGTATCCCAGGCTGTTCCCCCTGGAATTCCCCCCGGAATTCCCCGTTATCCCAGGCTGTTCCCCCCCGAATTCCCCGGTATCCCAGGCTGTTCCCCCTGGAATTCCCCCTGGATTTTCCCCCTGGAATTTCCCCTGAGATGTTCCCCCTGGAATTCCCCCCTGGAATTCCCCCAGTATCCCAGGCTGTTCCCCCCGGAATTCCCCGGTATCCCAGGCTGTTCCCCCTGGAATTCCCCCTGGATTTTCCCCCTGGAATTTCCCCTGAGATGTTCCCCCTGGAATTCCCCCCTGGAATTCCCCCAGTATCCCAGGCTGTTCCCCCCGGAATTCCCCGGTATCCCAGGCTGTTCCCCCTGGAATTCCCCCTGGATTTTCCCCCTGGAATTTCCCCTGAGATGTTCCCCCTGGAATTCCCCCCTGGAATTCCCCCAGTATCCCAGGCTGTTCCCCCCGGAATTCCCCGGTATCCCAGGCTGTTCCCCCTGGAATTCCCCCTGGATTTTCCCCCTGGAATTTCCCCTGAGATGTTCCCCCTGGAATTCCCCCCTGGAATTCCCCCAGTATCCCAGGCTGTTCCCCCCGGAATTCCCCATTATCCCAGGCTGTTCCTCCCGGAATTCCCCGTTATCCCAGGCTGTTCCCCCGGGATGTTCCCCCTGGAATTCCCCCCGGAATTCCCCGTTATCCCGGGCTGTCCCCCCGGAATTCCCCCCTGGATTTCCCCCGGAATTCCCGGTTATCCCAGGCTGTTCCCCCCGGGATTCCCCCCAGAATTCCCTGTTATCCCAGGCTGTTCCCCCTGGGATGTTTCCTCCCGGAATTCCCCCCGGAATTCCCGGTTATCCCAGGCTGTTCGCCCTGGAATTCCCCCCGGTATCCCAGGCTGTTCCCCCGGGATGTTCCCCCTGGAATTCCCCCCGGAATTCCCCCGTTATCCCAGGATGTTCCCCCTGGAATTCCCCCTTATCCCAGGCTGTTCCCCCTGGAATTCCCCCCTGGAATTCCCCGTTATCCCAGGATGTTCCCCCTGGAATTCCCCCCGGAATTCCCGGTTATCCCGGGCTGTTCCCCCCGGAATTCCCCCCCGGAATTTCCCCCGTAATTCCCCCGGAATTCCCGGTTATCCCGGGCTGTTCCCGTTCCCAGCACCTGGGGCCCTGGATCCGTTCCCCGCGGGGCGCGGAGCGGGAGCGCGCCCTGGGCCTGAGCCGAGCGCTGCTGGGATCCTTCCTCGGCGAGCTGCACGTCAGCGTGAGTGCCCGCCTTAATTAGCTTAATTAGCCCTCGTTAGCTTAATTAACGCGATCCCCTTCAATAGCGAACCCGTGCCCGAGCCCCAGTCCCTGATTCCACTCCCGGTTTTCATTCCCAATTTCCATTCCCACTTCCATCCCCAATTCCATCCCCAATTCCATTCCCATTTTCATTCCCGTTTTCCCCCTGCAGTCCCTGACTCCGTTCCCAGTTTTTATTCCCCAATTCCATTCCCAAATTCCATTCCCATTTCAATTCCCAGATTCCATTCCCCAATTCCATCCCAAATTCCCATTCCCATTTCCATTCCCAATTCCTTTCCCAGATTCCATTCCCAATTCCATTCCTAATTCCATTCCCATTTCCATTCCCAAATCCATTCCTAATTCCATTCCCATTTACATTCCCAGTTCCATCCCCAGATTCCATCCCCATTTCCATCCCCAATTCCATCCCCAGATTCTATTCCCATTTCCATCCCCATTTCCATTTCCAGATTCCATTCCCCATTTCCATTTCCCAATTCCATTCCCAATTCCATCCCCAGATTCTATTCCCATTTCCATCCCCAGATTCCATCCCCATTTCCATTCCCAAATTCCCTTCCCAGATCTCATTCCCGTTTTTCCCCCTCAGTCCCTGACCCCGTTCCCAGATTTTATTCCCCAATTCCATCCCCAAATTCCATTCCCATTTCCATTCCCAATTCCGTTCCTAATTCCATTCCCATTCCCATCCCCATTTCCATTTCCAGATTCCATTCCCTTTTCCATTTCCCAATTCCATTCCCAATTCCATTCCCGATTCCATCCCCAATTCCATTCCCAATTCCATTCCCGATTCCATCCCCAATTCCATTCCCAATTCCATTCCCAATTCCATTCCCAATTCCATCCCCATTTCCATTTCCAGATTCCATTCCCATTTCCATTCCCAATTCCGTTCCTAATTCCATTCCCATTTCCATCCCCATTTCCATTTCCAGATTCCATTCCCATTTCCATTTCCCAATTCCATCCCCAAATTCCATTCCCATTCCCATCCCCAATTCCATTCCCAAATTCCCTTCCCAGATCTCATTCCCGTTTTTCCCCCGCAGTTCCTGACGCCGTTCCCAGATTTTATTCCCCATTTGCATCCCCAATTCCATTCCCTTTCCCATTTCCATTCCCCAATTCCCTTCCCATTTTCCATTCCTCATTTCCATCCCCATTTCCATCCCCATTTCCATTCCCATTTCCATTCCTAATTCCATTCCCAGATTCCATTCCCGGATTCCATTCCCATTTTCCCCCCGCAGTCTCTGACTCCGTTCCCAGTTTTTATTCTCAAATTCCATTCCCATTTCCATTCCCAATCCCATTCCCAGATCCCATTCCCAATCCCATTCCCGTTTCCCCCCGCAGTCCCTGACCCCGTTCCCAGTTCCCATTCCCAAATTTCCCTTCCCAAATTCCATTCCCCAATTCCCTTCCCAGATCCCATTCCCAATCCCATTCCCGTTTTCCCCCCGCAGTCCCTGACCCCGTTCCCAGTTTTTATCCCCAAATTCCCTTCCCAGATTCCATTCCCAATCCCATTCCCGTTTTCCCCCCGCAGTCCCTGACTCCGTTCCCAGTTTCCATCCCCAATTCCATTCCCAATTCCATCCTCATTTCCATCCCCATTTCCATTCCCAAATTCCCTTCCCAGATCCCATTCCCAATCCCATTCCCAGATCCCATTCCCAATCCCATTCCCGTTTCCCCCCGCAGTCCCTGACCCCGTTCCCAGATCCCATTCCCAGATCCCATTCCCAATCCCATTCCCATTTCCCCCCGCAGTCCCTGACCCCGTTCCCATTTCCATTCCCGAATTCCGTTCCCAAATTCCATTCCCCAATTCCATTCCCAGATTCCATTCCCCATTTCCATTCCCAAATTCCATTCCCAAAATCCATTCCTAGTTTCCCTTCCCAAATTCCATTCCCTTTTCCATTCCCAATTCCATCCCCAATTCCATTCCCAGTTTTTATTCCCCAATTCCCTTCCCAGATCCCATTCCCAATCCCATTCCCGTTTCCCCCCCCAGTCCCTGACTCCGTTCCCAGTTTCCATTCCCCATTTCCATCCCCAATTCCCTTCCCAGATCCCATTCCCAATCCCATTCCCGTTTTTCCCCCCGCAGTCCCTGACCCCGTTCCCAG